GTCTATGACTCGGCTCCAGACCATCAAACAGAATTACCGATACTCCAGCCGTGATACTTGATTCCGGAATTGTAATCCGATTAGTGTATATGATATAGTTGAGACACTGCTGAGGGTCTATGACTCGGCTTCAGATCATCAAACACAATTACCGATACTCTACAAGTGATGCTTGATTCCGGAATTGCAACCCGATTTGTGTATATGATATAGTTGAGGTACTGCTGAAGATCTATGACTTGGCTTCAGATCATCAAACACAATTACCGATACTCTAGCAGTGATACTTGACTAGGCCTTCTCGGAGAAGGGGCGGAGCTCGGCATCGGGGTTCGATTCCCATGCCTGGCGTTTTTCTGCAAAAATAGGTTTTTTGCACGGAAATCTACATTGTCCGGGCGGAACCCTAATTTCGTATTTTTTCTAGTATATCCAGAGCGAGAGCAGGGTGGTCGGTTTCCGGGGTTTATAGAATAACTCCCCGCTGGGGGTTATTCGTAAGCCCTGAGGAGATATAGTGGGGGTTTATGAAATGGGGGTTTATTTTCTCGCCCGCCTTCGGCGGGCGAGCGAGATTCAGTTCGCGTGCGTTTCTGTGATACCCATATTTACTCACTATGCCTCGTAAGGTGTGTTGAGAACCGTCAGACAGACCCGACTGAACTCGACAGGGGGAAGGGGAAAAGCCGAAAGCTTAACTTAACTCTTGTTCCTCGAAAACCCTGCGCATGCGTATCGATCCGAGAATCGATATCCCACACAGAAGCTATACACCAGTCTCGTCCGCGCAACGAGAACAGCAAACAGTCCTGCGGCACACAACGAAAGGGACGTCACTATGAGTCATAGTCTATGACTAATAATGTGGCAACGAGCGATCCATTACATTCGCCCTCCTTGCCACATTGCACTCAATGGAAGATTTGAATCCAACAGAGTACAAGGAAAAATAAAGACGCACTACAGAAACTTGCGCTCTCATCTTACTATCACAAATGAACCTGGGCGCATTAGTCTCGGTCAATCCTGCGCATCGCACGTCTAAGGTCAGCGACATCTGTCTCAGCGGAAGTACAAATGCAGAGTCTCGAAGCATGTAGAACCTTTATCTCACCATCGCTGACCAGCTTCACCTTACGAAAATAACCATAGTCATCAGCATGAGTGATGAGTCCATGGCCAGTGGGAAAACCAACCACCCGCCAGCGTCGCTCACTGAAAGGGGTGTCGTTAGAGTTAGAGATCACTTTGTCGAATCTCGTGACAGCTCGAATGCGGACAATGCATCCTGGATAGAGCTTGTGCTTAGTGCTGGTTTGGATCTTCTTCTCAGCCAGCTGAGCAACCTTAGCAGCCAGCCTTTTCCACTCGACACTATCGGGGTCGGTGTTGAGCATGTCGTTCGGTATCTGTCCAGTGACAGAGTGACAGGTAGAGTTATAAGCTCTCATAACACGATGGATTGCAGCTTCAACACCGATGGACGGGTCATCGGCCAGCACAGCGCGCACCCACCTTCGTACCGTGCGATGAAGTGACTCTACCATACCGTTTGACTGACTCGACCTCACAGGAGTGTAGAGTCTCGTCACGCCCGGCAACTCGCATGACAGAAATGCTGCTGCATTATCCGTGAGCAGATACACTGGGCGCTTCCCAATGATAGCCCAACTACGTTCGAACGCCTGTGCAATAGTGGTAGCATCTTCGCTTGTTAACCCAATCAGACAAGCAAACTTACTCACTGCACACTGCTGCGAAAGGTAGGGCTCAGGAAGATAGACCACATCGGCACTCACCACAGAGAAAGGCACAGCTTCACGAAGGCGCTCCGGAGAAAACAAACCAATGTCATGCTTAACGATCATTGGCCTCGACTGTCTTGAACAGACATCACAGTTCGACAGCATTGCCGCAGCTTCCGTCAACATGTCGACAAACCAACATAAGCCAGACAACACCTCAAGTGTACGTCGACACCCACAGTGGCACAACAGAGAGTGAATACCATGAACCACTTCTGCTTTGAGGCTATCAGGAGTGACAGGGACGGAGACAACCTCGCCTTTGCAGGGAGCATAATAGTCTCTGACTAGCACGTCGTACTCGTTGATAGAGATCTCCGGAAGAACTTGCTGCAACACGATCGGAATCGACTCTGGCACCAATCGGTTAGCTTGCAGAGCCCGTCGGACCTTGTAGCAAACTTCGTCATCATACTGGGCTTCGACAATAACCCCGAGATTGAGAATGAGGTCGTCATAGACAAGGTCACCTACTAGCGCAGCCGCTGCAGTCGGCTCGCTTAGGTCACCTTCAATGTCAATACCACTCTCGCCCTCCAAGCTGGTCAGCATGACAGCAAAGTTGCCATCAACTCTGGTCAACACATCACTTGTGTTGTTATCACTATCCACTCGACGTACTTCGAAGCTCTGTAACTCCTCGGTAATATCGCTTATACACTGTAGTCGACGACTCACAACCGTGGTCGCCAACCCGCCTTTCTTCACTGCTTCTCCTCTGAGAAACCTTTCAATCCAGGTCCGCACACATTCGTTGTCTACGTGTAAACACACGTGCCCACCGACATACGGAGATGCCCAGACGAGCGCTTGAGCGGCAGCACAGAGCTCGTTCACATTGACGTGCCTCAATGAGGCTTTCCGATCCAACAGCCAACACGCATCTCGCACATATACTCGCTCACCCGAGTGGCTCTCATACGATAGTGTGGCAGCCATTGCAATGCCACTTGCATCGGACTCTATGTGCCATTTGGCCACTTCAGGACTCGAAGGCGACGGACAATACCATATTCCAGTTGCTGGATCTCCCTCACACTGCAACTTTTCCTGTACACAACATACCAGGTCGCGGATGATGTCGCCGACATTCTCATTCCAACCGTGATAGCTTGAAACCCGCAGCAACATGGCTGCATGAGGGCGTAACCACGTAGCAATAGGTACATGACCAACAAGACGACCACACCAAGCAGCGAGCTCTCTTCGTGTGAACGACTGCGAGGTATCCAAGTACAACTGGATATCATCCCGTCGACGCCACCGCAACTTGTTATCCCGTTGGTAGAGATCCAAGCCGAGTACCCTAGTAGAGTCACTAATGGCACAAGTTTCTTTACAATACATATTGCCTCTTGCGAGCGCTGCTCGGATCAGCTTCACAGACTCCGGGTCGGCTTTGGTCTTTGAGTCCACCACTCCGTCTCCATCTTCGACGATGATATCATCGATGAACGACGAGATAGGATAAGGAATATCCTTAAGAAGCCAACTTATCAGGGCTGTAGCTACCTTTGGAGCTATAGATAGTCCAAAGGGTAGGACCCGTATAACATACAGCTTCTGATTTATCATCACACACAGGTACTTGTAAGTACTTGGGCACATCCGTATAGCATAGTAGCATTTGGTAACGTCAAGAGTAAAGCCACGAGTGACAGACCTCCATCGATGCAGCGTCTCGGAGCAGTTAACAATGCCACGCACAGGTTCGCTCTTGATATATTTATTCAGCATTCGGAAATCGAGGCACATCCTCAGTGGAGTGCTCTTTTTATGCGGTTGAGACACCAAGACCCACGGAAGCACATTGTAAACGTCATCGTCCCAGGGCACCACCCAGCCATTGGAGACCATTTTCTCCACTTCGACCTTCACATGGGCTTCTTCTTCGGAAGTTAGTGATGGATCATAATCCCCCCGGTTAGCCTGCACCATTGGCGACGGAGGTTCACCATCACGCCAGATCCATTTGCATGTGAAGCAACATTCACCTGGGCTCCGTGTCAGCAAAAAGTCCTCGGCAGCGATCTCAACCTTACCACTTTCGAATACCCGAGCATGTACCCCTGGAACACCTCCAACGCGATGCTCATCGATAACTGGGTCAGCTGAAGTACTTAGACATACTGCACCCCCCATACAGATGCGCCCAGAGCTATCCCAGCGCATACCCTGGAGGTGTATACTAGCGAAGTCCACACCCATAACAATAGCACCGAACACCGTTGCTGGCACAACATAAAAGGGGTGTGATACTCTTAACGCTCCAGCTGTGCCCCTGCGGTGGCACACTACCACAAGGTTAACCACACCCAACGTATGCAACTTCTCGCACCCATCCATCTGCCTCAATGTCAACACTGGGCTTGTGGTGTCT